TAAACTCCAGTCTTTATAATTTCCTTAATTACCCTCTTCTAGAGTTATAGTTTAACCTCAAACTCTTTTAATTTGTGCAATTAAGGCCTTAAAACTTAACAATTAGTCAAATTTTCAAAAATTTAAATTAAGGATATTACAAGGAGGAGGAAGAAAGAATCTTTATCCACTGAGAATCCCACATGAAATTTAACTCCTTTTCTGATAAATCCTTTAAAATTTCACTCCTTTTCTGGAGTAAATCCTTTAAATGGCCATGAAAGAGGAATTACGAGCTCTGGACTATGTAACCCTAACATAATCAATTGGATCTAAGTTGAAGGGTGGTTTATTACTGAAAAAAAGACCAAAAATGTTAGCCAAGGTTGAGTTCAAGCGATTCTAGCGCTAGAAGGTCCCTGATTAGCCCTACAATGACAGCTTAGCTGCTAGTTTCTTAGGCCCACTTCACGCTACTCATGCAAGAGAAAGGTAGAGGAAGAAAAAGAAGAAAGGAAAAGAGAAGCTTACCGTAATTGCCATGCTTGAAGAAGGAGACAGTAGTTGAGTTGTAGTTGGTGGCAGTAATCGGGCACAAGGAAGAAGAAAGGGAAATGAGTGGAGAAAGAGAAAAGGGAAAGGGAGATAGGGCGCAACTATGGTTTTGTAACCCATTTTTTTTTTAACACTTTGGTCCCCTACCTTTGTTTCTCTCACTGAAATGACTCTAAAGTCCTAATTTCTTCATTTAAGGACCTGAAATCACAAAATCACTTAATAATTAAGCTGGGTATTACAAATTTTGACAATTTCATTAATATTGGAAAAAATAAAAGATAAAAAAGTAAAAAAACATTACAAATTTATTTAATAGTACATGTCATACATTAAATTCACATACAATGTATGACATTTACAAGCCTTTCTGAGAGAGAGAGAGAGAGAGAGAGAGAGAGAGTTGTCTAACAATGCCTTCTTCCTAGCTCTCATTCTATTCTCAAATGTGGACCTTTACTTTGGCTATATATGATATTGTTTTCAATTATTTGAACAAGCAATTTAGAATAGTATAAATGAAGACTTCCCTTGCCCCAGTCAACCAATGAGTACTTCTAAGTTCTTGGGTCTATTTAAATGCACTGCAACTCGCATTCATATGCTGCAATAGGGAGAGGAGGATAGAGAACGAGAGAGATGGAGAAAATGCTTTACAAGGCGGCCGCCGAGGGGAATGTACAAGCCTTGCGTAGAATCACTGGAGAAGATGGAACTATTCTGGACAGAATTACAGTGGAGGAATTTGGTGAAACTCCTCTCCACGTGGCAGCAATGTGCGGACACTTCGATTTCGTCAAAGAAATCCTGGACTTGAAGCCTCAGGACGCCGGCTGGCCTCAGAGTTGGATAGCCGAAGGAGGTCTCCCCCCTGCACCTGGGGTCGGCTAAAGGCGACTGAGAGATTGTAAAACTATTGATATCAGCTAATCCTGAAATGTGTAAAGCTCAGGACAAAGATGGAAGAAACCCTCTGCATCTTGCGGCCATCAAAAGGAGAGTCCGTGTCCTTGAAGAACTTGTCGGAGCCAGAAGGGAGGCGGCGGAAGACAGGGTGGTCACACCTGAGAGACCATTTTGCATCTCTGCGTTAAGCATAACCAGTTTGAGGCTCTGAAGTTGCTGATGGAGCAGACGGTGAATCACGTGAATTCCAAGGACGCTGACGGCAACACCATTTTACATCTAGCTGTCTCTGACAAACAAGTGGAGGCAATATATTCAAATCCGTACTCTTTGATTTCTTAGCGCACGTTGGTTCTGCAACTAGTTGCTATAATTTTTATTGATTTTGGATTTTTTATTTAATAAATTATAATTATTTTAATCATTAAATAATGATTTATAATTATTTGGTTCACTTTTATCGACCAAAATCTATGTGATCTACAATAACAATTTAGAGTTTGGCTGTAATGACTCTTCTTATTTTGCTTATGCATAATGATATAAAGCTATAATCCAAAAATAAAGAATTTAATAGGTGGGCTATTCTCTCTCATGGATTAACATAATTTAGGACTTTAAAAAAATTATGAAATTAATACAAATTGGGCATTCCACTCCATTACTTCATTAATTAAGATACTAACTTTGGCTTGTTTGTAGCATTTATTTTATTTTGAGTTATAATATGTGTAATTTTCAACTGTCTCCCACTCACTCCTTTATCAGTTGAAACCGACTAAATTCTACTAGGTTCCATCTCATGGTTATGTCATGCGTTTTAGCCACATCATCTTGCCAAGTCATCACCATGTTGTGCCCCCTATCATGCTACTTGGCTGTCCACTTGCCAGACTGTCACACTACTAATTAAAACAAAAATGAAATTCAATTAAGAGAATGAATTGTTTGATTTGAAAATTAAGAGACTACTTTAATGATAAATGAAAATTGTTTCCACTTTGGGTTTAAATTATTCCATAATGATACCCATATTTCTATGCTATAAATTAACACTATCTCTTTCTTTCTCTGTTTCTAAGCTCGTCTCACATCCTAGCCACAATTACATAAAAATATTTTTGCAGGCCATAAAATATATGCTCAATCTTCCTCAAATAACAATAGAAGTAAATGCCAGGAATGCATTTGGGTTCACAACATTGGACATACTATTTCAAAGTAGAAGAGATGTGAACGATTTAGACATTAGAGACTCCCTTGAAACAGCAGGGGCCTCGAGAGCAGCACGGATTCAATCTGCTACTACCGCAAATGATGCCACACCAATTACACAGGAGAACACCGAAAACGGAAAGCACTGTTGTTTAAGCTTAATTACACTATTCGAAAAGTTCAATAAAAAGGACCCTGATCCAGAAAACAATCTTAATCAAGGGAAATGGTTAGCAAAGAAAAGGAATACGTTAATGGTGGTGGCATCCCTTATTGCAACAATGGCTTTCCAAGCCGGCCTAAACCCACTTGGTGGCGTTTTTCAAGACAGTACACCGGTAGACTCCCAAAGTAATCCTATCGACCCAATTCCTCGTGGAGTAGGAGAAGCTGTGATAGCTTATACTTATCCAGATTCATACAAGCATTACCTTCGGTCCAACACCGTTGGGTTTGTTGTATCTGTAAGTGTAATATTGTTGCTTATAAGTGGGTTACCATTCAAGCGCCGAGGTTTCGTGTCGATTATGATGGTGATTTTGTGGCTGTCAATCACCTCCATAGCCTTTACTTACGCATTTTCCACCACTGTGCTAACTCCCAAGACGGATAGGAGAGCTCTCAAGCGTACAATGTATATTGCAGTTCCAGTATGGTGTGGATTGATGGCCATCCTTCTTCTTGCACACACATTGCGGTTGGCAGCCAAGTGGTTGCAAAACGAGAAAAAGAAATGGGTATGGCCATGTGGAAGCTCTTCAAGAGAAACTACTAGAAATGCTGTCAATGGGAGCCAACAGGTTTAACTTTAGATGACAAAAGCAAAGCATGTGCATTTTTGCTGTTGAATTATGTTTCCTAGTGTGTGAGTTGCAGCTGAAATAAAGATACATACCCAATATTGCTGTGTTTTCTAATCTCTGTGTCTTTCATCTAAATAGTACTTCATTTGGTATTAGTTTCTTGCGCATCACAAATTTATGCCTCCTGTAAGATCTATGTTGGGAATAAATAAGGTTCTTTTAGTCACTTCTTAGATTCCATCTATTGTAGTTGTTGTGGAATTGGGACAAGTAAGATTTTGGATGACTAAATTGTAAATTCATTGAGCGTGTTGTTGTTGGAAGCACCCAAAATAACACTTGTGGTATAAGATGACGTGGTACTGTTGTATGTCTCAATTCTTGTTCTGTTGGTGGTGACAGTCTTTGTGCTACTGAGGCTGTTGATGACGGTGAACAAGGATGGGGCAAATTCTTCTTTTTCCTCTATCTGTATTTTTGTGTATTGGAATAAGGATATTAAATGTGGTTTAGGTGCTGTTTATAAATGTCTATGAAAAATTAGAAGTTGGTGATTATTGAAATTGTAATGACCCAGTTTCTAAAATTATTAAGGTGGAGGACCAAATTGCAGGAATTAAAATCTGTGGGGTCAAATTGAAATATCATAAGGACCAGTTTGTGAGGAACTAAAAGTTGAAGGGCTAAATTTCAATTAGGCAGAAAATCTGCCATGAATAGTGGACCGAATTGTTCCGACCTTACCTCGCACGTTTGGAGATGTGTTTCGACTGGATTTTTGCAGGACTTTTGTGTGTTTAAGAGGGGCAAACCAAACCCTTTAACAATTTGGAGGATTGTTTGCAAGGTTGTGAGAGATTGGAATTTCTCTCAGTCAGGTGTTCGGTCGGGACCATGAGGGATTTTCTGGGATTTCAACCTGTTTTGGAGCAAATCATTCCGATCAATCGGTTTGGTGAGGCTCAGCCAGGGTAGAAGCTTCGATCTGGGTGCGCTGCGGTGGCAGATCAATCGAGGTAAGGGAGATTTTCGGCATTTTTTTTTCAGTTTTTGCATTCGGGTCGTTACAGACCTGGATTTCCTGCAACCGGGTTGGGACGCCCGGGTTTTTGGGCGGAGGAGGAAGGACCCGAACTGGGTTCGGGTCCCGTCGGGGGGTCGGGTCGACCACTGGGCCAGGAGTGGCCCAACTGGACCGCAGGCCAAAAAAAAAAAAAACAAAAGAAGTTGGGCTCGGGCCGGGGGGAGGCCCGAGCAAGGTGGGCCGGCCCAGTTGAGTGGGCTGGCCCAGGCGGGCCCGAGCCACGGCTGAGCCAAGCCGCTGGGCTGGCGGCTCAAGCCGAGCCACGGCTCAAGTCAATCAAAAAAAAAAGGGAGAGTTTTGACCGAACCGGCCGGGACTTTGACTAGTCAGTTCAATGGCCATTTTGGCTTGGAATTGGGAGGTTGGACCGGTTCTTGGTTCGGGGGAATGAGGGCTATTAGACCAAGTGGGTTCGGGAAATTTTGGGTGCCCGGTTCGAGGTGAACCGACCGGTTTAGTGTATTGATGCTTGGGTGATCGGTTCACTGGTTTTTTGGCCGGTTCTTGGGGAGTTTGGACCGGTTCTTGGTCCAACATGATAAAACCTAGTTAAGCGTGAAGTTTGGTGATTTTCGGGTGATCGGTTCAAGGTGAACCGATCTCGATTTGCGTGCTGGTGCTTAAGGTTAGGGTTTTTGGCCTAGTTTGGAGCTAGTTTGAGCCATTTTTGGCCGGTTCATAGTGGTTCCTAGGGTTTTTGGGCCTTCTGAATCTGATTTTGAGAGTTTCATGGTCATTCGAGTTGAGTTGGAGGTAGTTTTGAACCAGGTCAAGTCAGTTCAAGGGTTTTGGAGACTGGTTCGCTGCGGTTTAAGGTTTGTAAAGGCTGGTTCCGTAAAGTTGAGAGTGGTTAAGTAGACTTGTTCAGTGTTAGTGGGTCGCATCAGTTTCAGTGACAGACTTGGTGCCTCGAGATGCGTGCCAAAGGCTGGTTTGGGATTTGAGTCCGGTTTGAGGCTACCGAGCCTGTTTCTCGTGCCAGTTTCAGCATTGGTGATGGTTTTGTGTGGTTTTGATTGCAGATTCGCAGGCAGGGGCATACCCGGACCACTGAGTTGGGCGAGGTGACTCTGGACTCTCTTTTTGGCTTAGCGTCCGTACTGTGAGTGATGGTATCTTCTCTATGCTTGTGTTTTCATATTGTGATTTCTGATATGATGATTTTGTGGGTTGAAAACTGTGTTTTGATTATATGTTACTTGGGTTATGTGCTACGTGTTTTGTGAACTGTTAGGGAGTCGTGTCGGTATGTGATTTTGGTTTTTGAGACATGGACTGTATATGGGCTTGTATATCTGTTTGACTTGGATGTGAGGGCGGTGTGCTGTGACGGGATTTGGGGACGGCAAGAACTCGGTTAGAGTGCGGTGATCCGTAGCGTCTAGTAGGTGAGTCGGTCTGAGTCCGTGAGGGGACGACGGAGACTCGGCTGGCGTGCGGTGACCATAACGTCTAGTGTGGGATAGGCCTGAGTTCAGTTATGTGATTTGATGTTGGCTGATAATATTCTTGGGTGTATGTTGTTATGTTTTACTGATCGCTGTATGCTTAGGGTTTTAGACTTGTGTTATGATGTGTATCCTGACATGTATAGATTAGGTATCATCTATACTCACTAAGTTTCGTGACTCATAGTTTTAAATATTCCAGATTCATTTGACTGTACTCGCCTCGTTTAGCGCGCCAGTATGGGAGATAGCGACTGCAGATTTGATCGATGTACGGACACTTCTCTTTATTATCTATCCTTTATTGTATTCTAGAGTAGCTTCCTTATTCTCTCATACAAGATCCCGGGTGGTTTTAGTGATGTGATATTATTACTGCTTTTAGTGCATGCTTTGTATTTTCGGAGAGTGATTGGTTTTGTTGAGGCTTACTGG